AACTGGTGAACCCCCGCATCCTGGAGGTCAGCACCACTCACCAAGTTCGTAGAGAACGAGGGGAGGTAAAGACCAGACAGGGTGCCAGAGGGGGCCGCCGGACACGGGAGGACAGTGGAGAAGTGAGCAAGGACAGGACCCCCAGAGGGGTCTGCCAGAGAGACTGCAACTGGCCGGCCAAGCGGCGTGAGTGTGGTGCGGTCTCGAAAGAAGGAGCGAGAAGCCCCCGAGTCAAGGGTGAAGGTGTGGGAGGCCGAAGCCGACGCAGTACCTGAGAGAGCAGACTCACCAGCACCTGAGGGAGCAGACGCACGAGCACCTAGAGCAGCAGCCTCGCTAGCACCTAGAGCAGCAGCCTCACCAGTACCTAGAGCAGCAGTCTCAATGCCCGGGTCGGGCGGAAAACACCGGTAACAGTCACCCTCATCACTAATAGTCACAGCATACATGGCAGCAAGAATAGCATCAAATTCAAGGTCAAAGACAGCTACACCCGCCCTAGACAGCTCGCCCCAGCGGGGGATCTCAGTGGCCTCAGGGAACTGGTGACACCAAGCGTCCGTCAGGCGGCCAAAGCAGCGCTGGGTGGAGTGCGCACCCCCGCACTGCTCACCCGCGCGGTCGCCGGTGCGTAGGACGTAGGTGCACGGACCAGTACCCCCACCCCGCTGGCGTGCAGTGTACCACTCACGGAGCTGCTGAGGGGGGGGGATGTCACGAGTGCGCTGCTGCCGCTGCTGCTGCTGCTGCTGGCGCTGACCACCACCGGAGCCGACCCTCTGCCCAGCGCCACCCCGACCAGCTCCACCTCCTCCGCCGCCGCCTCCTCCACCGCCGCCACCTCCGCCACCTCCGCTCCCACCGCCACCGCCGCCGCCGCTTCCGCCTCCACTGCCGCCACCGACACCTCCACCCCCGCGACCACTCCCACCACCACCCCCACCCCCTCCACTGCCGCCACCGCCACCTCCGCCACCCCCGCCAGCCCCTCCAGCACCCTTGCCCCCCTTGCCCTTGCCGGTGCGGCGTCTCCCGCTCGGGGCAGACGCAGCGCCGACCGACTCGAGACCAACGAGGTCGGCCGCAGCAGCAGAGGCAACAGAGGGCAAAAGGGGGGAGGGGGAACACCCCTCAAAGACGGGGGTGCGAGGGTCACCACGAGAGGCTCCTACAGCGACTATGCTCTTCTCTGCTGCTAGGAGGGCCTTCTCGAGGAGGTCAACGGTGAGAGTGGTGGGGTAAACTGAGAGGAAGTGGTCCCTGACTACGCGAAGGGAGTCAGGGAGCCGGGTGACTATGTAGTAGAGGGTGATGTACATGGGGGGGGGGGTTCTTGGCGCAGAACTCAGCAGGAAGCGCAGCGCGGTAGCGAGTGTCACTAGTGCGGAGGTGCGTAATGAGGTCAGCGACTGTGGGAAAGGCAGCAAGGTCAGGGAAGAGGTACGGTAGCATGAGGCGGCTCAGTGCAGCAGTGGCAGGGGAGGAGTAGCGCGCAAATACAGCGTCGTACAAGGTGTGAGCACTCTTGTACTGGCTAAAGTGCGCACGCTCAGAGGTAGGCAGGTGGCGACGCACAGCTAGACGTGCAGCAGCATCGCGTGTGGCCCACTGTGAGCGAACAGTGGCGTCGGCATCAGCAGCAGGGGCAGGAGAGGCACCAGAGGTGAGGTCAAAGAGGGAGAGACCGTCTGCCCTATCGCACTGTAAGAAAAGCTGCAGGTCATCTACCCAGACGTCAAAGTCAATGGCCCGACCCTCAGCGTCAAAGGCGAGGACACTAGGGGTAGCCATGACAGCAGTAGACTAGCAGTGCGAACAGTAGGGTAAGGGCAGTGCAGTGATAGAGGCGCTGCTCTTACCGGACAGGGCGGCTCGGGCGGCTCGGCAGGACGGCGGGTCGGCGACTCGGCGGCTCGGGCGGCTCGGCGGCTCGGGCGGCTCGGGCGGCTCGGCGACTCGGCGGCCCGGGCGGCTCGGCGGTCGGCTGCTGGGCGGCTCGGCTGCTCGGCGGCTCGGCTGCTCGGCTGCAGGGCGGCTCGGCGGCTCGGGTGCTCGGCTGCTGGGCGGCTCGGCGGCTGGTGTGGTTGGTGACGACCGCGGCAGCAGTCGCAGAAGCTGTGGCGACTGCTGCTGCAGAGACGGCTGCGGCTGCTGCCTCAGGGACGGCGGCTGCCGGCCGTTAGGGGCCGCGAAGAGCGGCGGAGAGGCCGGGAAGGGCGCCACGAGGGGCCGTCGAGGGCGGCGACGGGCCGTGAGGAGGCCGCGGAAGGCGGCTCGAGGGGCCGCGAGGGGGCCGTAAGGGGCCGACTGGCGGCGGGAGGGGCCGAAGGGGCCGCGGGAGGGCCCGTAAGGGTAGCGTGAGGGGCCGTAAGGGGCCGTAAGGGGCCGTAAGGGCGGCGCGAGGGGCCGTAAGGGCGGCACGAGGGGCCGTAAGGGCGGCACGAGGGGCCGTGAGGGCGGCGCGACGGGCGCGACGGGCCGTAAGGGCGGCGCGACGGGCCGTAAGGGCGGCGCGACGAGCTGTAAGGGCGGCGCTAGGGAGCCGTGAGAGGGCCGCTAAGGGCGACGCGACGGGGCCGTGAGGGGCCTAGCGAGGGCGCGACGGTAGGGAGAGCACACAGGGCGCGACTCGGGCCGGAGCGAAGCGCGCTCCGGGCCGGAAAAAAAAAATTTCGTGGTGGTGGGCCCTAGGAATCGTTCCCACTAGGGAACCTGCTCGATACCATGAGAAGAAACGAGGAATGAATTGACTAAGGGAAAGTTGGGTACAAATGCAAACCCTAGAAAACTGTACCCCATATGTGCTACCCCACTATAGCCTACAGTAGCTATGTCATATAAATCTGACAGATTGTACATCAGGTTTCGCCCTGCATCAACAAAGGGATGAAGCAGGAGGTGGAGGAACTGCTGGCGAGAAGAGGAGGAGATGGAACGGAAACCCACATTCTGGAGAGTTCCACGGTCATGCGCCATGGCGCCCCGTCGTGACCTGAGGTGTGGACGAGGTTGGCCGAGAGCATGTACCCGCCTTTGATGGCCAGGGAGGTAGCGCATGCTAAGGTTTCAGGCAAGCGTGGCAAAGTTGCCGCGTGCCGCGTGGGTTCCTTGCTGCGGCGGGTCCTGATTGGTCGAGATGGCAACTTTGATGTGTCGCTGTACAGCCACGCGCGAAAAAATCTGTACAGCGGTGCAGATTTCATAATTTCCCACCGCACATCTCGCATGTTGCGCTGTACCCCTGTCGGTGGTTTTGTATCTAGTCATCGATTTTTTTTTTCGCGGTACAGGCTGATTCAGGGTACTTTCCAATAGGATCCTGATGGATCAGGGCTCGGGGTACTTTTAAATCCTGAGATCACAGGATGCAAAATCCTATAAATACTGATTTGTCAGGCCGGTTTTTATACAAATACTGAAATTTCAGTCCTAGGGCACCATGCAGATCCTGAAATTAGGGCATTCAGGATCTTTTATCCTGATATCTGAGGCCCTGGTCGGTACTGTTCGATCATACAATATGCAGGGATATCTCATTCAGGGGTGATTTTATCCACTGTTTGAGTCGTTTGTTGGACCACTGTTTCACAACATTCTAACAGGTGCTCCATGTAGTGTCTAGGAATCACCCTTGAAACTATATCTCTTATACGGTATGTGAAATCAAGTATACTGGGTTGCTACGCAATTCCGAAATGAGTCTCCTTAGGGCGTGTAACATCGCCACACACATGCGAAATTTGCTAATGGCCGGATTTTCAGCCATTAGGGTACGTAGGGGTTTTGGTACGAGACAGGTTCGTACTTAGGTGTTCAAATGGGTACTCTTGCCAAAACGGCCCAACGGATTTCCGGCCGAATTTGTGGGTTCGGCGATGTTACACGCCCTTAGGGTTGCTACGCAACACAGGACTTCGGTGCTTGACTTCGCAGCTTCTGCTACGGCCCATGCACCAAGTCTTGCTCGATTTGTACAATTAGTTTTTTTCGCTGGAAATTAGAGTTACTACGTAGCGAGCTTTCCCGCGAATGGGATTGCTTTTGCCGTCATTTCACCTGCCCGTAGGTGTCTGTGAACCACATAGTACTACAGAAGCGAGGAACCGATGGCGAGGAGGGGAGATGGTGTCCGCCAGGTATCACACGTGAGAAAAAAAAACTAGAGATGTACTAGCTAATGTGTCACACAGGGGCCAATGAAAAGCAGCAGTCTGGGGGGAAGGGATCGGGCACTGGATGTAACACCTCGCTACCCACTGGGTCAAAACGAGGGTGTTATTTGGCGCAGCGGAGTGCCCTTAACACAGCCCACAGGCGTTACACTCGTCCCCCCCTGGTGCCAACGTCCCCGTTGGCCCTGGACTTCAGGAAGTCGGCCCCCTGCCGCTGGGACCTAGATTTCGCAGTGCTGCTGGCTGCGACTTCGCTGGTTGCTCAGGCCAGCGGAGGATCGTTCGTTGGGTTTGAGCTGGTTACAACCGCACTTCAGTTCTCGCCAAAGGCGGAAAGTGTGGTCCAGCCGGGATTCGAACCCTAGGCTCTAATTCCAAATGTAACACCTCGCTACCCACTGGGTCAAAACGAGGGTGTTATTTGGCGCAGCGGAGTGCCCTTAACACAGCCCACAGCGAAGTGGTGTCGAATCGACGGATGACATCCACCGCGTCGAGTCGCGGCAGGAATCAGAGCCCTGATTCGTCGGAACTTACTGGATTCAGCTCACGAGTCGTCGTGAGGGAACCCGAAGTCTTCAAGCAGGCGCAAAGCAACGCTTCACACACCACGTATCATTCCCCACGACCTATTTACAGCAGACCAGAGCTAGCTGGCTCATCATCATTCGCTTTCGCCTTTGCCTGACCCTAGTTACCTTTGCCCGACGTTTTTTCTCGATGGAGACTCTTCCCGCTCCTCACGTTGCGCCTCAAGCGCAAGCTCCGTCGCAACCCTATGTTGTCGTGGGGCAGAAGTACTGCGTACCGTACGAGACTACGCTTGTAATGACGGAGAAGATGTTATCGATTAGGGATAAAAAGGAGATTCGTGATACCAAGGGAAATCTGCTCTTCAATGTCGCAGACAGGCGAGAAATCCGACCCTATTTCATGGCGCTCTCAATGCTTCTTGTACCTCGTTTTCCCGTGACGCGCTCGTACCTCGTTTTCCCGCCACTTCTGCGCCTCCCGTCAAACTTTGAGGCGCTTTGTACCTCTTTTTACAGCTTTGTACCTCTTTGTACCGCTTTGTACCTCTTTTTCCCGTCACCTTTGAGGCGCTTGCACCTCGTATTCCCGTCACCAGGCGGCACTAGTCTTTCTTCTCCTCGTCCCCGGCCTCCCTGTGTCATTTTTTAGCATGTGCTAGTAGTACGAGCCACCCTATATCCGTAATTCTCCTCTCCTCTCCTCTCCTCTCCTCTCCTCTCCTCTCCTCTCCTCTCCTCTCCTCTCCTATCCTCTCCTCTCCTCTCCTCTCCTCTCCAGTTTACTATAAATCCCATTCTCCCATTCCTTTCCAAACTACAATTCTCCCACAACCAGGCTGCTATCCATTCCCAACAAGACCGAGATTCTGGACGCTACAGGTGCACCCGTGTGCATGCTAGTAGGCAAGGTGTTCAGCCTGCACAACACCACCTACCTCTGCCCGGGAAACAGCACAGACACCAACGCTCACCTGCTTATGGCCAAGAAAGTCATATTCACCCTTAGCCCCGTTCTTCAGGTGCGCTCGGGAATGCCCAATTCCCACTGGGAGTCTCATCAGTTCTTGTTTCAAACTGGCAGTTTCATCAGTTCGTTTTTCTTGTTTTGAAATGCTATCTTGTTTTCTAAAATAGTTACGTTCTCGAGCTGCACTCGGGGCTGCCAACTTGGCAGTTTCATCAGTTCTTGTTTCGGAATGTTTGCTTGTTTCTTGAAATAGTTATATTCCCACCTAAGTTCTTGCATCGGTCCAACCCTCTTCCTAGCATCCTCCTTTTTTTTTGTTGCCTCACCTACGTTTTGTGGTCCTCTATCTCACTCTCTTCTACGACCTTGCAGGTGTTTTTACAGGGTAATAATTCGGACAACCCGGACATTACCCTTTCTGGCTCATTTTTTTAACATGAGTTCAAGGTTAGACGTTATCCCAATCCGACCCCTGTTTCATATAGCCCCCTCCTCCCTTTTTTTCGTTTTCTTCCATTCCCATTCGTTACAGGATGAAAATGTTTCATGTTTTCGTCAAACACCCACTTGATGTGTTCCGTTTCTGCTTCCACCCGAAACTGAAATCCCTGCTAATCTTATGCCAGGTCACCACCAGCAGTGGCATCCTATTGGCCGAAGTAGGTCGCGACTTGTTCACTGCAAGGGACCTTCTGTGTCACACCCAAACGTACTATGTGCGAATCTTGCCAAATGTGGACATGGCGTTGATTCTGGCTCTGGTTAATCTGGCCGACTCTATCTTTGTTGACCAAAAAGGGTCTGGCGTTCACGTCGGCGTCCGTGTTGGTTCGTCACGTTAACCCCCTATCTATGGGTGTATATGGATTTTGAATCCGGATCAGGTTGAGGTGGGGAGGGGGAAGGGAGAGGGGAGAGGGGAGGAGGGGGGTTAGTGGGGGGGCTTGGTGGGTTTGGGGGATTTGTGAGGGGAGGGGGCTAGATATAATAGCAAGCTTCTAGAAGCACTTCTTGGAATTCAGATGAGTAAGAAAAAAAGAAGCCCAATTGTTGCCTCCAATCAACTGCAGTTGGCTGCAATGCAAACCTGACGTGCTGTGCGACAGGCTTGCTGGCTAGAATAACGAGTGTGAAAGATGTCGTGCTGGATTATGGCCGATATGGCGACCGTGTAATACACGGACATATGCCGGAATGTACCCGTAGCTAAACTTCCTTTACTATTCTTTACCGTAGTTTCAAATGCTTGCATTCTGTCAAGACCGTATTCCGCCGCGCTCGACCGCCCTGTGAACTTCTTTCACAGCCGAGCCATGAGCTCACATCGCACAGTAAACAAACGCATAGCACCGTAGCAAAACGTGTCTTCACACCACTCTGCACTATGCTCGTTTGTCAAACATATGCATATGTTACATTTTTGGGTAGGCTGTAGTGGGGTAGATACTGTGGGGTATAACCCCTTAGGGTTTCTCTCTTGCACCATTCTCTCGATAGTCAACTTCATTCATGCCTAGAGTCTAAGATGGTATCTAGAGCCTAGAGGTCTTTAGGACCTAAGATTAGGGCCCACCCATTACCACGTTACCTCACTTGCCTGCCTGCCTTGCCTACTGCCCGCGCGCGCCTCGGCTGCACGCGCGCGGCCCCTTTTTTTTTCCCGCGCGCGCCACTTAAGCAGCCCGCGCGCAGCCCGTTTAGGCCCGTTTAGGCCCGTTTTCGGCCCCGCGTGCCACGTCAGCCGCCCGCGCAGCCTGCCGCCGGCCCGCGCGCGGCGTAAGCCGCCCGCGCGCAGCCCGCTTAGGCCCTGCGCGCCGCGTCCGCCGCCCGCGTAGCCCGTTTTCGGCCCCGCGCGCCACGACAGCCGCCCGCGCAGCCTGCCGCCGGCCCTGCGCGTCGCCTCCTCCGGTGTGCAGCCCGCAACTGCTCCGCGCGCCGCCTTAGGAGCCAGCGCGCGGCCTACTGCTGCACCGTGCCCCGCCTTAGGAGCCCGTGTGCGGCCCGCTGCTGCACCGCGCGCCGCTTTAGAGGCCCACTGCTGCCCTCCGTGCTGCCTTCGGAGTCGTGCACCGCCACTGCAGTCCGTGCGCCGCCACTGCAGCCTTGCACGCAGTCTCTCCTTGCTTGCCTTTTGCCTTGCCGCCTGCGCACTAGACTTGCCTACGCTGCACGCATGGCGACTCTCAACGTGCTCGCGTTCGATCCTGACGGTCGCCCAGTAGAGTTTACCACCTGGCTTGACGACCTGCAACTGTTCCTTCTGACTGATGCCAAGGACGGTGTTTCCCTGTACGATTACGTGTCTGGCACTGCCGTTGCGCCTGCTCTAGACCGCTCCCAGTGGCAGACCCGCGATGCTGCTGCGCGCCTCGCTATTCGCAACCATCTTCCGATCACAGAGCGCGCGCATTTTAGCCAGCACAAGACTGCCAAGGCGCTGTACGACGCTGTAGTTGCCCGCTACTCTTCCCCGGCCACTGCAGCCCTCGGTCGACTTATGCTACCCTACCTGTTCCCCCACCTGTCCTCGTTTACTACCGCTGAGGACCTCATCTCTCACCTACGCGCTAGTGACACTCGCCTTCGTGCCGCCCTTCCAGCCGAGTTCCTCGCAGAGAACCACCCCCCGATGTACTTTACTCTCTACTTCCTCATCACCCGCCTCCCTGACACTCTTCGCTCAGTCAGGGATCACTTCCTCGCCCTTGACCCCCATTCTCTCACTGTCGACGACCTCGAGAAGCACCTCCTAGCAGCCGAGAAGAACATTCTAGCTGTAGGTGCTGCTCGTGGTACTCCCCGCACTCCCCTTTTTTAGGGGTGCTCCCCCTCCCCTCTTACCTCCTCCTACGCCTCCGCAGCTGCTGCTGTCGACCTCCTCGGTGCTTAGCAGGTCGCAGCTGCTTCCGCTCCTAGTGGGAAGCGCAGCGGCTCCAGGGGAGGCAAGGGTGGCAGGGGTGGCGGACGTGGCGGTGGAGGGGGCGGTGGTGGAGGCGGCGGGGGAGGTGGAGGTGGTGGGGGTGGTCGTGGGGGTGGAGGTGGTAGTGGGGGCGGTGGTGGTGCTGGGAGCGGTGGCGGTGGCGGCGGCGGTGGTGGCGGAGGGGGGAGTGGTGGTGGCAGCGGTGGTGGGGGCTTGGGTGACACCCGTGGTGGCCAGGGGCAGCAGCAGCAGCAGCAGCAGCAGCGTCAGCGCCAGACCCCACTTCCCAGCAGCTTCTTGACTGGTATGCCGGGCGTGGGGCGTCTGGGGGTCCTGGTCGCTGCCCCTATATCATTCGCACAGGTCCCCGCACTGGTCGCCAGTGCACAGGGTTTCACACTGAGTACCGCTGTTTTGCTCGGCTTAGCGACGCCTGGCACGTCAAGTTTCCTGATGCTACTGAGTTCCCCAACTGGGCAGACCTGCTTAGGCGTGATGTACCTATCTTTGATCTTGACTATGAGGCTATTCTTGCTGCCATGTATGCATTGACTGTTAGTGCTGAGGGTGACTGCTACTTGTGTGTGCCGCCTGACCCAGGTATAGTCCCAGGTATAGCGCCTGTGGCACTAGGTGCTTGTGAGTCTGCTCCCCCTGGTACTGCGTCCGCACAGGCCTTGCACACCTTCACACTTGACTCTGGTGCTTCCCGCTGTTTCTTTCGCGACAGCACCACAGTCACTCCCCTCCCTGCACCTGTTCCTGTCTCACTGGCTGACCCCTCTGGGGGCCCAGTGCTTGCACGGTCTTCCACTGTGCTTCCGTGTCCGGCGGTCCCGTATGGTGAGCTGTCTGGTCTCCACCTCCCCTCGTTCTCTACGAAGTTGGTGAGCAACGCCGTCCTTCAGGATCATTGGGTAGACACCTTTACTCCTGGAGGGCAGTGTGTGGCGATCTGCACGTGCTCTCGGACCGGCCGCCACCTGGCCACATTCACACGTGCGCCTGGGTCCAAACTGTACACCCTCACCACTGCGTCAAGCTACACCCCTTTGTCCCCCCAGCTGTACGCGTCTGCTCAGGTAGCTACCCAGTGTGAGTGTCGCCGCCGTTGCACGACACTCTCCTGTGGCACCACCGCCTTGGTCACCCCTCCCTGCCTCGCCTTCGTAGCATGCACTCTCGCTACCTGGTCTCTGGCCTTCCCGAGTCTCTGCCTGCCCTCCCTCCCTCGCCTGCGCCGCCCTGCATTCCTTGCGTCGAGGGGCGGCAGCGCGCCGCTCCTCACTCCTCCTCGTTCCCTCCCACAGAGGCTCCTCTGCAGACTCTCCACATGGACGTGTGGGGCCCAGCCCGCGTCCGTGGACAGGGCCACGAGCGGTACTTCCTGCTGGTCGTCGATGACTACACGCGTTACACCACGGTCTTCCCCTTGCGCAGCAAGGGGGAGGTCCCTGATGTTTTGATCCCCTGGATCCGCGCTGTTCGTCTCCAGCTCCGCGAGCGGTTCCACTCGGACTTTCCTGTCCTGCGTCTGCACTCTGACAGGGGTGGTGAGTTCTCCTCAGACCTCTTGGCAGCCTTCTGTGCGGAGCACGGCATCCGCCAGACGTTCACGCTTCCGGCCTCTCCGCAGCAGAATGGGGTTGCTGAGTGCCGCATTGGCTTAGTCATGGAGGTCGCTCGTACCTCCATGATCCATGCGGCTGCCCCCCATTTTCTGTGGCCGTTTGCGGTCCGGTACGCCGCGCATCAGCTCAACCTCTGGCCCCGTGTCTCCTTGCCGGAGACCTCACCCACACTGCTGTGGACGGGGAAGGTTGGCGATGCGTCGCGTTTCCGGGTCTGGGGTGCTCGTGCCTTTGTCCGCGATACCACCGCGGACAAGCTCTCCGCTCGCGCCATTCCCTGCGTCTTCCTTGGCTTTGTCCCTGACGCGCCTGGCTGGCAGTTTTACGACCAAGCCTCGCGCCGTGTCTTTCCGTCTCAGGACGTCACCTTTGACGAGTCCGTCCCCTTTTACCGTCTCTTTCCCTACCGCACTGCCCCTCGCCCCCCCCCGCCGCTCTTTCTCGCCCCAGGTCCTCCCCAGGTAGACCCCCTCCCCGCGCCAGGTCCCGCTCCTTCAGGTGTTTCTTAGGTAGACCCTCCCGTGCCTGCGCCTGTTGAGGTCACTGGTGACTCAGGTCCTGCTGGGGGTGGTGCTGTATTTGGGGGTGCTGGGCCTGGGGGTGTGGAGCGTGGGGGTGCTGAGCCTGGGGGTGCAGAGCTTGGGGGTACTAAGCCTGGGGGTGCGGAGCCTGCGCGTGAGGAGCCTGGAGGTCCTGAGCCTGGGGGTGCTGTGTCTGGAGTTGCTGAGCCCGAGCGTGAGGAGCCTGGTGGTACTGAGTCTGGGGGTGAGACACCTGGGGGTTCTGAGTCTGCTGCTGCGCGGACTCCTTGGAGTAGCCGCCTTCGTCTGCGTGTGCCTCTCACCTCACAGCAGCTGCACGACTCGTACGGTCACCGTCAGGGTCGAGCTTCTGGAGCTCGGGGCTCTACTGCTGGAGGTACTTCTGCTGACGTCACTGGAGCTGGGAGTGGTACTGGTCCCGGAGGTGCTCATACTGGAGGTACTGGAGCTGCTGGGGCTGGAGGTGCTGCTGAGCCTGAGGGTGCTACTGCTGGAGACCCTGGGTCTAGGGGTGCTGCTGCTGGAGACACTGAGGCTGGAGACCCTGGGACTGGAGGTGCCGGTTTTGGG